AAGCCGAGTGACAGATGTTGGAAGCAGTTAGCTTCCTCCCATAATTGGGGCTTACCAGGGGTTGTGACACTAATATATTACCTTTATGTACATATACATATAGAAATGGGTAGAGATAGAGATAGATACGAGAAACATAAAACACAAACGCAAGTATGGACTATTTTAGAAATGGTTAGGGAAAGGGAAAAAAAAAGTGAAATACGGGACTTTTCATAGGAGTTTCATCCATCTACCTATTGAATTTATACTCCACCCAATTCCCAATGACCCTGGGCCAAGAGAACAACAACGGCAGGAGTACTAAACCTTCATTGAAGGGAGGTTTTTGTTCACTTATTTATATTACAGAATAATTTATATTACAGAATAATCCGTAGGACATACTCATAACAAAAATGGAAGAATGTGTATGCTTCTAAACCTTCCTGGAAAGGGGGAGGGGGTGTTTGTTCATTTATTAATTTATAGTACATTATATAATTTTATTGTATTACCAGTATCAACCTCTGGGTAGAGCAAAATTACAGAATAATCCGTAGGACATACTCATAACAAAAATGGAAGAATGTGTATGCTTTTAAACCTTCCTAGAAAGGGGGAGGGGGTGTTTGTTCATTTATTAATTTATAGTATATTATATAATTTTATTGTATTACCAGTATCTACCTCTGGGCAGAGCAAAATTACAGAATAATCCGTAGGACATACTCATAACAAACATGGAAGAATGTGTAACGTGCTTCTAAACCTTCCTAGAAAGGGGGAGGGGGTGTTTGTTCATTTATTAATTCATAGTACATTATATAATTTCATTGTGTTTACCAGTATCTACCTCTGGGCAAAGAGCGAAAAATGACAGCAGTCCAAACTTTAATAGAAAGGCGGGTGGGTACTTGATTCTACGTAGGTAATCTTTATGCTTTTTACCTCTGAACAGGTGTGCCTACGTGCAAAAAAACAAGACCAGGACTCCAGCAATTTTTAGGTTCTCGGTGTCAGCTTCTGCTTTGCGGGGCGTGACACTCGGGATGCTTCAGGAGACTGTCTGCAATTGAAGGCCATTCTTAGAAATTAGTGTGGGAATACCAATAAAAGAGTATTTGTAGCTCGGGGTTGAATTGTGGAGTCCTTGGTGCTCTCTGAGCTTGCCTGTTTTCTTGCAGACTTTTCATCACCCAACTAGATAACATCATCAATGCTGGCAAGATGATCCTAATGGGATAATCTAGTAGACACCCCCTTCTAGCACTGAAGATATGACCTCTCTGGGTAATGAAATGTCTGCAAGGAAACAACCAAGCTCAGAAAACACCAAGGATCCTACTGTTGATGCTTAGCTTTGAAGCCTACAATCTTCTCTATCCCCCCCGCCCCCCCCTACTAATCCTTGAGGTTGGGAAGAGTAAAATAGAGGACCTTCTTCATAAACATTAAGATGTCCTCCAGGCATTTTGATGGATCCCAGTAGAATCTCACATCCGTGACTTGTCCAAATTAAATGCAGTAGTTCTATCTACTGACTCAGCAAAACCTATCTCCTTGATCCAAGCTTAAGGTTCAAAGTTGAGATCATTAAAGGTGTTTTTTTACCCCCTCAGGTCTCCTGCCTCCCTTCTTGTGCACATAACATCTGTGCATACCAAATAAAAGCAATCATAAAAACATTCTGAGGATCTCAATCGATCTAAGCCAATGATTGTTGCACACCACTGCCAAAATTCCAAGGATGATCAAAGCCACCACAAAGTAAACTATCCTTATATTCAAGGATCATGTTAATTGTATCTCCTAATCCAGAGTTTCAAAGCCCTATGTCGGATTTATTTAATGTAGCTTTCTCTTTCCACTTTATAGTGCGTTTGTGGTTAATCACGTTGAGGGAAGATTTCCATTTACAAACCGTCTCTTGGACAGCATCTCCAAAATCAAAAAGGCCGCAGGAACATTATTAAGTACACACTTCATTTTTTTCCAACCTTTCGCCAAGGAAGAGCTCAAATGTATCTGGTGTAGTCACGTGTATTATGTACATCTGCCAGTTTTCGTGTGTGAAAAGAGAATTTTGCAATCACTGATGCCTTTCAACATCTTTACAATAGGTAATACTTTCGTATTACTCAGTACAGTGTCTACTAAAGAAAGCAATAACATTTTAGCAATACATTTCAGATTCCTAGTTGGTTTAAAAGTGTTGTTTCATGCATGCCTGAATTTGTCCATATCTAAATTAAGCGGGGGAGTGGGGGAGAGAATTGTGTGGTTTTTCTTAGCTTCTTTGTTCCCATATTCTGATTTCAACCTCTCCAAAATCCTATGTGTAATAGCAACAATTATTTGGAAGCAGCTACTTGTTCCATGTTTGTATTGTACAACATGGAAGATCAAATATTTAGTACGATTTTCCCCCCAGTCCAGCAGCTTAGCCAACGGAACCAAATTGCCCCATCGTTGTTTTCCAGCACAACATATTTTATTACGATCTGTTCAGTTCATCAGATTTTCTAGAGTAGGTTGAAAACAAGATTATTCTACAACTTTCATCTCAAGCTATACCTTGTGTGAATCACACTGGTTGCAATCATTCAGTAACTCAATTCTGATACTGTCTTACTCTGGTACAGGGGTGGGTTCCAGCTTCTGTTACTGCCGGTTTGCTCAGGGACGCGCTATGCACGCATGCGCAAAAGCAAAAAACAAGATGGCGCCGATAGAACTGGTTTGGGCATGTCCAGCCGAGGTACCACCTACTCGGCTAAACCAGTAAGGGCCCACCTCTGCTCAGGTACCTGAAAGGAGGAGAGGCAGAGCCTGGAGGTGGAGTCGAGAGGACTTAGCCTGGAATCATTTTACCTTTTCACAAGTGGTCTTAAATCCTCTTGAACGCCGTCCATTCTTATCTAGCGCCAATGTAGTGCTGACCATTGACTAAATTCGTGTGCGTATGAGCAATAAATCAGTCTGACTGGAGCTTAATGCATGGTCTTGATTCTTTGCTCCTGATATTACCACCTCATCCCTGTTGTAACCCTTCCCGAAAGCCATTGCACTGGTCAACTGAGAAAGCTTGATTATGCTGAATCAGGCCAACTGGCTGGTCACAGCTCTCCAGGTTTTAAGGGAGGCGTTTGTTCAACCCATTTGAAAATACTAGGATTAGATGAGTTCACAGCCTGGCTGCCGAATATAGATTGTACTCACGTGGGCTATGACTCACGTGAGAGTTCTCACAGGCAGTGAAAGCAAAACGATAGTAAATCGGAGTTGCAGAAACAAGGGATGTAAAAACTCAACGGGGTGGGGCAGGCCACGCACAGCAAACAAGGGATGGAAGCATTTATATTGATTGTGCAGAGACTGCTTGATCCTGAACCTTATTGGTTGCTGGAATTAGTTCATTAAGTCTTCTTTTTTATTATTATTATTATTAGCTGGCCTTCTTTCAATCCAGCCTCTTGGCTGAATGCAGACAAATTTGGCTAAAAGGCTATTTAATCAGAATATGGTGAAAGGCTTTTTCAAAGCAAGGAGATATTTGACAGTGCCTCAAGTTGTATCAATTTACCCAGGGTACTATAATTTATAACTTGCCCTGTTTCATCATAGTTTATCCCATACAATTAACATAAATTATGATAATGTCCATTAGTTCATTGCTATCATTCACCAGCTTTCAATCCAAACACAACACACAGCTTCCTTTTGGTAGAAAACGTTATTTTGCATTTTAAACAGCTTTTGGCTAAAAGGATTTCAAATACAATATGAAGAAATACTTCTGCATATATTATGCATATTAGCAAAAATGCAATGTGTGAACTTGGCTGTTATCAAGAAAACATTTTTAAAAAGAAGCAGAAAAAGTCTCCATATTTGGGCACTGAGAAAACTGGTATCACCCAGGAACAATGTTTTATCCTGTGTTTTTTTTTTACATTGGACTTTTACTTAAAAATAAAATAAAATAAAATAGGAAAGCCTGAAATATATCATCAAGGAAATCAAATTATTTTGTCCACATTAAGAAAATGGACCCTTCCATTATAATATTTTATTTTTGATTTTTTACTCATTCTTTTTCCAAGAATGGCAAATCAAAACATTCCACCACATTAAGGACAAATTTTGACCCTTTGTGGTACTGAATTCATTTTCACACTTTTCTCTGCCTCTTTGCTTCCCCTCTCCCCCAAATCAAGACACATAACATGAAAAGCAGACCATAACCCCTTTCTCCTACTAGCTGTTGTTACAAAGTCCTATAGAATTTATGGTTAAAACAGTTGATAAACTATATCAAAAATAGAACTTTCCATTCTATTTCTATTCCAAAGCTTTTTTCTTTCTGTCCAGTGTCTCTTGATAGGCAATAAATCTTCTTAAATTCAGCTTCACGTTGTCTAGAACACACAGTTGTTCTGTGTTATACTGTCCTCTGCCTTCTTTTCGCATCTGCAGTTTAAAAAAAAAAGAAATGTGGAAGCTGTAAATGAGTTGAACTCTTATTAATAGTGATAGGTAGGGAGGTAGGTAAATAGGGAGGGAGGGAGGGAGGGAAAGTGAGAGAGAGAGAGAGAGAGAGAGAGAGAGAGAGAGAGAGAGATACCGATAGGTAGGTAGGTAGATAACATAGATAGATGAGAAAGAGATATAAGATAGATAGATGATAGATAGATGTAAGTAGGTAGCTAGAGATAGACAGACAATCTAAATTATTCCAGGAAATAAAATGAAACAAACAAGACCCAAGACCCACAACCACCCATCACCTGCCTGCTTCTACATCTTTACAGCCCCTTCCCCAGCTTTCTATTTTAAAAAAAATCATATCAAGCAAAGTTGTCCGGTCCTTCCGACGCGCCCTAAAAAGTTGGCTTTTCCAGCAAGCCAGCCTGGCCTGAACAAAACAAAATAAATTATTGATCATTGTTAATTTTAATTGAATTTTCTTTAAAATGTCATTGTTAATTCTAATTGGGTTTGTTTGGGATAGTCTATTTAATTCTTTTTAACTTTTGTAATATGTGTTTGTTTTTTTAATGTNGTATGGCTGTGTGATTTTCGTGTATTTTAATTACGTGTATTGTGTTTATATCCCCTTTCCCCCTTTTGAGTTGTTCGCCGCCCTGAGTCCTTCCCAGACAAGGGCGGCATACAAATAAACTAAATCTCAAATCTCAAATATGATTAAATTCTACCATCCTTCATTTCATCCTTTGAAGTTGCAGAGTTACAAATTTCGGCTTTCACCTTACTGGCTACGTAACAAACACAGCCAACTGTTGCATTCAAAAATTATGCTAAGCTAAAGATTTAACTTGTGTTAAATGAATAAACCACGGTAGCCAGGTTCTCGCAGAGGTGAAGGTATTATGGCGGGTTACTCTTCTACGTTAAACAAACAAGTGCGTTATCAAGCAAGGTTTAATGTCTCGAACTAATTTCTGATATATTATGCAATTAAAATAGAAGTGGAACGTACTAAAAGAAAATGGTATTTTGAAGTCCATTTAAATGACATCTAATAATAAAATACCCCAAGAACCTTATGGTTTTCGGCCGTCTGTGGGACTCTATCCTTTCGCTTGAATAGTTTATACAGGCCAGTGAAAAATCTAAGGACAATGAAGTTCCATAATTATCTGGATTGTATCCTGATCCACAATGCAGAGAAATAGGTTTCTGGTTGGGAACAGGATGGGTAAATGTGTTGTTCATAAAATAAAGGGGAGGGGGGGGGGAACCGCAGGATGAACACTGCAGTTTTTAAAAACTAAAAACTAAATACATGAATTCTACAAATAAAAAGTATAAGCTGCCTTGAAACTCTCCAAAGAATAGAATGTTGACAAATTTGACATTTATCGTTATGAAACCGCTCCCTACAACAATATAAAATCCCATTTTGATGCTGTTAAACTTGATGCCAACTGTCAATGCACAAGCGGCACAATTTCTTTCTGACCAAAATAAAAAAACCTTTGCATAATTTGCGGAAGGAATGAGAATGCAACGAGGAAAAGATGATATGCATCTAAAAGCAAGACCTCCTTAACCTTTGTTAAATTAAGTGCAAGCTGCCACAGAAGAGTTGTGCATCGGCTGGGCCCAGTAGACTTCCTTCCACACCCTGCAAAGGTGCATTTGTATTCAGGAAGACACCCTTGCCCTGGACTCCTGCATAATGTTAACACTAAGAGTGACAAAGATTTTTGTTGAGAAAGACAAAAACGCATATTATAATTCACCTTTGCAATGGCCAACTCAAGAAGGTCATTACGGCACAAGAATCCCACCTCCACGGAATGCACTGGCCATGTGCCTTTTGTCAGGTATAATTCTGGCGTGCAATATGCCTCTTTGCTCCCTCGCACACTTCCATGCACTGAAACACATGTTTCGACCGCACTGGGAGGTGCTTAAGAGTCGTAAGATCAGAAGACACCGACCTGATTGTGCCCTTTCCGTAGAATAAGTGGATCTGTTCCTGTCTAATTTCAAAATGCACATATGCACACTGGTTTCCTTTCTACTTAAGCTTCTTAACGACCCCTCCTCCTTTCTTCTGTGTGCAGAGAGCGAAAGCAACCACAAACAGTGTGACTCGGGGAAGATAGCTACAGAATACTGTTACAGGAATGCAAACTGTGTAAAGGTCAAAGCACATCTTTGCACAAGCAACATTGGGGTGGTTGGTGGTAGGGCATGACAGGTAAAGTGTGCCTTTCTTTCCAAACCATGTGCTTCTGGACATGGCACCCTTACATTGTCCCTTATTACAGTCCTTCGCCATAGTGTTGCCCTATTCATCGACTCAATCCACATTGGTGGGGTGAGATTCCTGAAACAACCTACAGCCATCTCTCCATGCCTATTCCCAATAGCGCACACACACACCCAACCAGTAACTTTATATCACAAATTCAACACAGATCTTTCTTGATCCATAACTAATTCTGGCCAAGCCTTTGCTGATTGACAGGCCGCAGACTTCCCAAAAGCATCCAAACCGCTGCTGGTTTGAACCGGATCCCCATTCATGCAAAAGGGACATTTCAACCCCGGCCCCCCAGGAAATGTCCAATCCGGCCTACTCTAAGGGATGAGCATCCATTCTGGTTCCTTCTTCCGTCTATGCTTGGGATTCAACCTTTTGCAAACTTGGAACCACAAAACAAGCCAGGAAAACCGCCACGGAAGGCCAAGGGGTTATCCCACTCACCCTCCAGATTCAAGAGCACACCGCCCCTGGCCCTGCACACCTGCAGATCCCCGGCAATCCCCGCCTGCCTTCCACATTTCAAAAGCCGCCTTTGTGCTGTCATTCCCAAAGAATCACTCAAGTTTCTGGGCAAGGTGCAATAATAACCTTGGCTGGCCACCCCCATTTCCTCCCCATTTCACTACACCCCATTGCAGACTAAAATGCGACCTTTCCCCATAGGTCTCCTTTCGCAAAGGTTTTCCTTTGGGGAGGGAGGTTATAAAGGCTTGCAAACCATCCCCCTCTCCTCATCCACCCCACGTCCTGCCCCCAAAGACCCCCCTCTTCTCCCTTCCCACACCCACCCTTGCCTCCAAAGACTCCTCCCCAAGTCCTGACTCCAGAGCCCCCCCCCCCCCTCCTCCTCCCCCCCCCTCTTCTCCCTTCCCACACCCACCCTTGCCTCCAAAGACTCCTCCCCAAGTCCTGACTCCAGAGCCCCCCCCCCTGCTTCCTCCTCCCACCCTATTTCCTGACCTAGGAGACCACTGACCTTATTTCCTCCCCTCCCCCAGTCCTATTCCAAAGAGCCCCTCTCCTCCCTTTGCCCCCTCCAACTCCTGGCTCCAGAGGCCCCCTCTTCTGTCCCCCATGTCCTGACCCCCCCAACCCCTCTGCTCCCTTTCCCCCACACCCTGCTGCCTCCAAAGACCCCTTTCTCCTGTCCCCCTCTGCTCCCTTCTTCCACCAACCCCTGCCCCTTAAGACCCCCTCTCCTGCCCTACCCATAA